CATATGTTGACCGCTTAACCTTTAATGAAGAATCCTATTTGTTGTAGCTTCTGCTCTCACCACCATTCTCTGTGGCATTCATTGGGTCACTTGTCTCTCACCTTTCATTCAGCCGAGAGCTTCTTATAGTGCATTTGTGGACTTGAGAAATGGAATCTGATCCTGCGCCTTTAAGCAGGCATTTTCTAAAACTGGACAAATCTCTGACATATCTAATCCTAAAGCCTTTACATAATTTGCCCCCTTTAAGCTCTTTCCTTTTTGTTCAGTCTTAATCATGTAGCATAGAGTCATGAATGGTACCATAACGTTTTTCTTTTTCCATAAATGGTTTAAATTATTGTTATACACCTTAACTTGTGATGCAGCTTCTCATTTTCATTTGTCTCTCTCTTTGTATATTCTTTTGCTACTACTTAATGCCATTGTTTCATATATTCCATTTCCCTTGTATCATGTGCCAAGTTCTTAATATAATCTTTTACTTACTGATATATTATTCCCAATGTAATTCTGTGACAACGTAAAGGCCTAGTTGCCCCCCCTTTTAAATTTAGACTAAAATCGCAATTTGGCAGATGTTCTTTGGCTTTGTTCTTTATAACAGCAGGAAATTTGTCTTTTGTAATGTCTGTTCAAGTGAAAATTATTTCTGCCTCTTCAGTGCGGGAGCAGGAATTAGGCCAGTGTTTATACTTTAATATTCTTCTTCATATAGGCCATTAGCTGCAGCAAGCCAGAGACTGCAAAAGAATTGTAATCTTGACAATCACATGTAAGTAGGTTTGGGGTTCTACCTAAGCATTTCTTGATCATGAGCTTTATCAAGGTTGTACAAAGAAAACAAAACTCTCAATTTAAAGAATAAAAAAAAAATAAAGCCTAAGTAGCCTATTGGTGGGTTCCAACCACTCGGAATTAAACCATGTATACAACAGGGGGAGGTTGTATTTGGCTCCCCGGAAAAAGGAAAAACAGAAGATTAGGCAAAGTTTGGGTGACTGACTGATGGAATGCCTCTTTAAATTTGGCCCATACCTTTACCATACTCAATACTACATTTTTTTAGGCTTGGTTTTTGATCCTTTCTTTTCCTAGGACCAATTAATGGTTGATGCCCCTAGACTGGTCTATGTTACACTAGCTGGGAGTGGAACTGCTCCTTTTAACCCAAGGATACTGACTCTCCAACTTTAATGCATTTTGTCTTGAGTCTCTTGGACCTTTCTAGTGATCACGGCCACCATTAATGATTTATAATAAATAACAAGATAGTGGAGAAAAACCCCTTTTGTGCTGAGATGCTGGGACCAAAATTGGTGTTTAATCCATTAAACAATTGCTGTTACCAAGTGTTTGGCAAACAGTTTAATTATGCAACTGATAGGTGAAATCTATATAGCTTTGATTGTGTTTCATGAAACCATGCATGCTTCTTTTCTATGGTTCATTACTTAAAGTTTTTAATAATTTTTCATTAATAATATTGCATTAAATGGTCTCTAAAACAAGAAAACAGGTTGAAAAGATAGAACAATTACATCAACTTTATTAAAGAACTCTTTATAGAGGAGAGAATTTGCTGGGATACTAACCTTAACTTTTGCTCTGAAAACAAAAAAGGCAACCTTCCTTTTGGGCAACCAACCAAAATTCTGTTTTATCATAAATAAGGCCTTCCCACAAAAACAAAAGGTATAATCTGCCTTCACCAAAACCCATAAGATTTGTGGTCAGAATAGTGGTCAAGCTTTCGGCATGCTGCACCCACTCAATAGTGCTGAGAGCTGCATGTGTTTGTCTTCTGAAAGAGATGGTTAGGAATTATTCATAATTCAAAGGCCTAGAAATTTGGTTCAATCTATCATCTGCTTAACAGCTGACCAAGCAAATACTAATTCTTTAAGGTCATTTTTATAGACAAAAATAGATGTGATCTGATTCAGCATCCGAATGTTACAGGGCTTGGGTTTAACCCCGTGAACATATTCCATGGGGCATGGGATGTACGAACCTGGGAAATATTTTAGCCATTTCATTGTTTCTTTTTATCCCACATACTCTTTGTCTGCAACTTATATAATTAAATGGACTCGACCTCTAATCGCCAATGTTTGCAGCCTTAGCACTGCAAAGTTGATAACAGACAAGATTCAACTATGTAATAATTTAAGGTTTGACTTGGTTTTGTTTTAATGGAACATGACAGTCGGATATTACCACTCACTGCATGTATAAATAGACAGAGACATACAAAATGCAAGGTGCACCTAAACTCTCGAGAAACCTCTGCCATATTTAGCAGAGAAACTGTCTAAAAATAACAGCTCTATTGAGGTGGCGACTGGAACCCGTAGCCACACGTTGAGCAATAAAACATCGGCTAATATAGACTTTCCTTCAGTTTTCTTCTCTTTGTCAAGGTGAAGGCTGTATAGTGTAAGATTGGCAGCAGTTATTAATGGCCCTTCAAATCTCCTTCTCCGTCTTGGCGCTTACTTTGCTTCTTGGCGTTGCTTCTGCTACTGATGGTATGATCATGTTTCGTTGTTAAGTCATTTGCAATGATCGACGTTCTTCTACCTGACTGAGTTCTTGAATTTTTCTTTTCTTGTTTCTTTCTACTTTTGTTTTGTTTTGATTTGATTAGCGCCTAGTGCAATTGAGTTCAGTTATTCTGGCAACAATGGCCCTGTCAAGTGGGGAAATTTGGATCCAACGTTCTCGGCATGCTCATCAGGGAAAAAGCAGTCTCCTATTAACATTCAGAAGAATCAGACAGTCCCCAACAGAGCCTTGAAACCTTTAGACAGGAATTATACACCTGCAAATGCTACCTTCGTTAACAATGGCTTCAACGTTGGGGTTGGTTGCTAATAATTTTCACTTCGCATTGTTATATAACATATAAAGTTGTTGATCATTTTTTCTTGGTATCGAAAAACTAATGAACAAGTTTAACATCCTTGCAGTTATATGAATGCTAATTAATTTGCTGGTTTGATGAATTCTGGTTGCAGTTGCGTTTCGAGGAATATGCTGGAGAGTTATCTATAGATGGCAAAAACTACTCGCTCAAACAAATGCACTGGCATATACCTTCGGAGCACCGAATCGATGGACAACAGTATGCTCTTTCTCTCTCTCTCTGAAATCTTATGTATTGGGTTGGTCCAACTTTAATCTGGGCCTCAAGATATGCTTCCATTATGGACCCCAATTCACTCTAATGGGCTCTTTCCCAACCCCGAAACTCATGCAAACCATTCCCTCACCCTCTGGATCATCAGATTCTATAATAATACATACATATGGTTAGTTTAATGATTTGAATTTTCTTTAATCATTAACAAGTTGGAAGTTCAATTCGCTAATGTTGATGGAAACAGAATCAATCTAATCAGTGTCAAACGCTTGTTCGATCAGTTTTGCACTTTATTTTTATCTACTTAGGCCTGGCAAACTGAACAGGTTCCTGATCCAATCGCCAGTCTGGTCCGATCCTGACAACACTGTCTTAATATGTTCTTTTTTCTGTTTAATAATATCATAGCTGGAATATGTTTAGTCCCCTCCTTGATACGGTGAAGTTGAATTACATTGGCACGTTTGCTACAGATTTGCTGCTGAGCTTCATTTGGTACACCGCGCAGAAGATAACAGCCTTGCAGTTGTAGGAATACTCTACTTAGAAGATGATGCCGATCCATTTGTCTCTAAGGTAAAGTTCCCATCACACCCGCCAATATTTTGTTGATCCTTTCGAGGAGAAAACCTTACAATAACCTCAAGGAAAAAATAACTCTTCTTCATTAGTAATACTTTTAGTTGTAAGCTTTCAGCCTTCGAGCAAAGGTCTCGAATTTCAGCTGCTTCTGGGTTTTTTTATGGATAACTTAAAATCAAACAAGAAAGCGATGGGGTACTCAATCCATGTTGTGATTTATGATTTCAGCTTATGGATGGGTTGGATAAGTTGGCCAAGGAGCAGTGCAAGCCAGATGAAATAGCTGAAATTCCCATTGGTACCATAGATCCCAAGCATTTGAAGCGAAGTAGCCGCAAGTACTATAGATATGTTGGTTCTCTTACCACTCCTCCATGCTCGGAGAATGTCACATGGAGCATCCTCGGAAAGGTATGTTTTCCTGCACAAATTAATGTATGGAATGTCCAGAAAGGCATACATAGGTACTGAAAATGGCTAATAAACAATTGCAGGTGAGATCGATTTCCAAAGAGCAGATAGCCGCTCTGCAAACTCCGGTGAAGTCAGATTGTAAGGAAAACGCAAGGCCTTGTCAGGCAATGAATGGCCGAAAGGTTGAGCTTTATAATGAGCTTTTTGAATGAAATCATCGTCAGTGAAATTGTGTACAAACAGGGGGGGAAATTAAGCTTGTGTTTTATCATGTGATGCATTTTACGAGGTCCTTAGCCTGCATTACACTTTCCTCCTTTTGAGATGGATGATAGACGAACAATGCTTGCTTTCTTTTTATTCATTCTTATCAATTTCTACACTGAATGATCGTGTCAGCTCTCTATTGGATCTAGGAATAAATTCCCGAATTCCCGGCTTGAAAATAGGCACCTACCTAGCGTTTGTCCTCACTTGTGATGTACATGTAAGTAAGACAATACCGCTGCAATCGTAATCATTAACTACTCAACCTTCAAAAACACATGGGGCAAGGCAGAGAAAAGTGGTAAGAGAAATAGATTACATGGCTCATACTTGATAGCTCGGCTGATGGAGCAATAAATAAGCTGGCGTTGTAGATTCACATCACCCCCAAAATCAGATGAACACTCTGACAGGGCTTTGAAGGGTTGAAAGTCAAATACACTGAAATCCCAACCCTATTTTTCACACACAAAAAAGGAAATGGTAGCAATTTTAAGAAAAAGTTTTATCATTTGTCAGGCTACTTCTTGCTGCTATAATTTAACATGGAAGTATGATGATAGGGGAAAGAGTCACTTTCAAGCTTAGAAAATAAGTGAAAAACGACACTATAAGAAACTAAGATGGTTAAGATTCTAAGCCATTGTACCAAATACCATCCACCTTAGCAGTCAACAAATACCAAACAGAGGGACTGCTTAACTATGACCCAACCCCAAGCGAATACGAGTTTAAAGAAAATTGAATATTAAAGACTGGTGGTTTTGAACACTTGGGAAACAAGAGAAGACTATTTAAACGTAGAAAGGCAAGCCTTGATCAACAACAGATCGGATGATGCAATCTCCAACTTTAGGCACTTCACCCATGAATTTCCTTAAATTAGCACTCATCAACATCAACCAAAGCCTTTTTGGTCATCTTTTTAGCTCTTATGTAACGCTTTTTTCACTTGGCGAAAGTGCTTTCCATCCCCCTGCAAAAAGGGGTTGTGTTTTGTTAATCAATGTTGCGTTCATAAATTCCCCAAAATCATGCTGCCTTTTCATCATAAATGTAGTTTCACTTATTATAAAGTTCAACTAATTAGAAAAGTATAATCCATTTACATTTTTTGTTATTTCATAATTGGAAATTACTTTTTTTTCCTAGATAAATTTTTATTAAAGTAACAATAAAATTTACAAACTGTGCACGCCGAAATCACTCATATCTACAAACCCTTATCAAGTAAAAACAAATCATAATTAAAAAAGAAAAAAAGACAAAAACAGACGGGGAATTGGAAAATGTGTGCCTTTTTTTTAACCTTACCAAACCATTAATCATCATGCCACGTCACCGCAAAGAAAATTTAAACATTAGGCGGGACCCACAAATTACCCAACCACGACCGCAGACCAACACACGCCATTTAGCTATGGCCCACCACTAGTGTAAAAAACAATCTTTTCTTCCACGGTTCAGATTAACGGCTCCGATCTCCTGCCAGACGCGAACCGCTTCATCCCGCCTATACTGACCGGCTCAGGAACCGGTTCACTCTCCGCAATTTCAGGCCCCATAGATATTGCATCACGATCATCTGGCGGCAAACGCGTCCTAATGTCGCTGTTCCTTGGCGGCGACGGCGCTACCGGAAGAGCGTGCAGTTCACGTTCTTTCCTATTGGACCGAAAAATAGCACGAAAACCCGAAAAGAAACCGCCTTTTTTTCTCGTCGTTTTCTCTTGAATTGTTTCTACTTCGGCCGATTTTTGGCGGTTCTTTTTTAGTCGGCGATTCCGGTCTCGCTTCGATCTCACTCTTCCCATACAAGAAACCTTAGGCGAAGCCGGTTCAACAACGGGCGGACCCGATTTAACCGAGCCGGACCTTTTAGGAAACAATCTAGTGTTTCCAGGCTTACAATTCTTCCTGTTCTTTGTTTCAACAAAGCAAGATTTCTGCGGTTTCGGTAATCCGATGATCGAAGCTTTCGATTTCCTCAACGAAAAGCGTTGAGAATTGGAGTTCGAGTTGAGATTAGGGTTAAGATTAGTGGAGTTCGAAACCGAGTTTCCTTTCTGCGACTCTTTCCGTTCGTAGAAAGCGTTTCGATCGAACCAGTCGAGCTCGGCGTCTTTGGATAACCAAAACGATTCTGGCGGGAAATCCGGCGGGATTTCTTCTTCGCCTGGTTTGTCCGCCGTATGGAGGTGGTGGTCGTCGGGATCGCCGTCGGCGGTTGCTAAAGTCTCGCAGACGATTTTGTTGTCGCAAGAGCCGCCGGCACAGGCGGAAACAAGGGTTTCCAAATTGCCCTGTGGCATTGTACGCACAAAGAAAAAAACTTAAATGTGGAAAGAGAGAAAGTTTGAAAGAGGAAGGTAGATTTGAGAAGATTTATATAAAAGAAACAAGTGTTTTGAATGTGGAATTTGATAGAGAGAGAAATAGAAAAGATTTTTTGAGGGACCGTCAACGTTGTTGACTTCTGCTTGCTCTGCTCTCTTTATTTGTGGGCGGGCTTTTGGCAGAGAGAAATGATCTGTTCCAAGCCAAAGTACAGTGAAACTCCAAACAAATTATTTGTACCATCAAGGAAATTGATTCCTACCATTTTTTTTCCCTTTTTTTTTGTTTTTAATTTAAAAAAATTGTAATCATTAACAACAAAGAAAAACCTTATATGTAATTTATAAAAGTCATTAATCCATAATTTAAACTTACCTAACCTACATTTAAAAGGGAAAATTTTTAATATAATTCGTTTGTTTTAGTTGGTATGATTCTCGGCTTGAATTGACTATGATACATGTGATTTCCTGAATATACATATCGTCTGGCCATCTGTTATTGAACCTAACGGATCAATTAGTTACAAACATTAGTTGCAGAATAAATAATATTATATATATATATATGGTCAAGGTTATTGATTTTTTTTATATTTTCTAAAAAAATAAATGAACCCACAGTATTCTGTCTTGCCAATTTGAGTTACAAACAGACTTCATCCATGACGTAAAATGAGAGCCTTTTGTTGACACCCATTTGCCAAAAGCAATGACACAAAGAAAAAGCAAATAAAAAGGGACTCCTGTTTGCTATTTTGGATTTGATTGCTTGATGTTTGTTGCAATTAAGATTGCTGGTAAATATGGACAAATTATATTTTCTCCCTCAATGTTTGAGCTTACGACCATTATCATCCAAAAAGTTCCATATAAATTATTAACGGAATAATGAATTTTTTTTCTATTTAGAATTTTAATTTCTAAAAATACACTTTTACATGTCAGATATATCTGACAATTTATATATTTATCAAAGTGTTATGATGCATAATATTTTAATTCTCTTAATCAACCAAATAAGAGCTGTACTGATTGGGATGATAGTAGAAGGACTGGTGTGACATGTTATCTAATGCGTGCCTCCAATCAATTAAGTCGGTTAATTATCCTAAATCAGGTAGCTAATGGAACATATATATGACACCAACTTATGCTAAAGAATCGCAATTAAACTAATCGAAGATTTCATCCGTCGTTCTAGGTGAAATTTTAATTTATTTTAATCACACCATATTTTGTGATTATAATATCATATATATAACGTATATTATTGCATTTTATATGGTGAACCACTTCTTTAAAGTTTCATATTGTCAACATTTCATTGATGCGATCAAGAAGGCTACCAACTGATTGTATCTTCTATAACTTTTTTCCATTAACTAATGAAGAAAAAAGTGTAAATAAATTGGAATTTTGATTGGTGTGCATGCATTTCATCTTTTGCCTCATAATAATTTAATATTTCTATAAATGTAATTTACAAGATTTTGTCTTTTTTCCTTTTTCTTTTTATGCTACGTTGTTATTATTATTTTCAGCCAATTGAGCAGCTCATGATTGGTTTAGGTAATGTGATAGTTGGGGTAGGAGGAAAGCTGGAGCTCATTAGGTTGATTAATAGACAACAGCCTCGTAACAAATCTCATATATGCTTCTATATATGATTCCTTTCGTTTCCTACAATCACTCTTCAATATTTGGGACTCCAAGATTAAATGACACGGATGGGGAACTCACACATGCATAAACTACATTTTTTTAATAAAAAATAAAATAAATGGATTAATTATTCAGACGCCTAAAAATTGAATACTGACAAAAAATGGTCACTAAAATTTGAATTTAAAATTACTTATACTATCAAGGTGAACGAGGAAATAATAAATACATATATTATAATTAATCGTTTTGGAAATCACAAGGAGAAGAGTCCATTCCGAATAGCTAGCCCATGCTTTTTTGTTGTACGTAAGTGGGAATGGGTATCGAAGATTTTTAATAAGGGATAAAATAAAAGGCGTGAAAGCATGAACTTATATTTGGGCTCCCTATTTAAGCAAAAATCCTGAAACTAGGGGGAAATGTCCTACATGCATAGCAAATTGACAAGCAATTAGCCATGTGATGTGTCCTTTCTTGGAGGTTCAACATTATCTGGAAACACAAGCATCCAGCAAATTCACGGATCCCAGTCCCCTGGTATTAACCTTTCGCAATGATACCTTTAACATCAAACATGGCCACCATGCCAAGACTTCCTTTTTCTCTATGCTGCTGTGTTTTTACGTATGTATGTATGTATGCCCCTGCCAATTCCCGCGGTTCCGTTTGCAAAGACAAAAATCGAAGAATCATCTGACTCCCATATCACTAGGTTCATGAAATAAAATAAAATAAATATTATTAATAATATTTTATTTATAGTTTAAATATTATTAATTTTAATTAAATTTTTTGTAATATATAATTAAAATTAAAACTTTTTATTTTATTTTTTTTATTTTCCCTTATAGGGGTATTTTCGTTTGATTAATTTTAGAAGCTATTTCCCACTCATGAAATAGTAAATAACAAGAGAATTAAGATTAGCTAATTTTGATTTTAGATGATTTTAAGAGATTGCAGAGGAATGATTATTCCTTGAGCCATTTAACAACCAAACAAAGGAACAAATATTTTTTAAAAATAAAAAGAGAATAATTTAGCTATTTTCCAATCAAACATGCTACCCACTATACCATCGCTTATCCTCTAAAAACCAAATCATTTGGGGACGATTGAAACCAAAAACTTACATACATATCATCGTCTATCTGGTAATGACATCTCTCTGAGCCATTGTTGGGTCACTTTCCTTTGCCAGTTGCGTGCAGAGATGGAGGTGAGTGCAAAACTGTGTTGCTGTCAATATTACGGAAAATTTTGGTGATGAAATCAACGGGCATGGCCCTAAAAACCTGACTTTTCTTCTACTAAATGCAAATCAGCACTGCCGTTGGGTCAGCCTTTCTCATTATGCTTTAACAGTTGGACTTTACGACTTTTGGTGGAGCATGATTTCTTTGTTTTTGGGTAAAACAACATGTCATATTTCACTATCAAATGATCAATGAGTAGGTAAATTGGGTGTTAATTACTAAACTTAATTTTCATTTTATGTAAAAAATACTTAATTGCTTAATATCTTTTGACTTTCAACCCAAAATGGCAGAACTAAGTAATATTTTTTGATGATGTATAAGCCATTACTCTGATGTTTCATCCACCTAATTTGTTTTTTCATTTCAATTATTTCCATGTCTTTATATGGTGACACAAAATTTTGGGATTTTCTTTCTTTTGGAGCTTAAGTCAATAATACTTATAATTTTAAAAGATGTTTTCTCAATTATAAAATGGAATTCTCCGTTGAATTTCGTTGCTAGCTTCCAGACCCTTCATCAAGTTCACACCAAGATTCAAAACACTTAGGGACGCTACAATGATCTAACATTTGACAATAGGAAAAGTTAATGGTTATGTAGAGTTCATTGCTATTTATTAACAACGATATAGTTTGATAACATTTTTCGTCAATAAAAAATTAATTTTTGTTGAAAATACTTTTATTTGATGGAAATGTGTGGTCCAAAATTTCATTGAAAATCTTCAATTAGTAGTATCTTCAGTCAAAAATAAAAAAATCCCATCCGTAATGACATACAACAATTATAAGATGAAGACTAACATGACACCCAAAAATATATAGTAAGCAAGTGTGCTGTTCTCACACCAAAATTGTCATTTCACTGCAAATCACCATTACTCCTATGATATTGCAACATAATGTGTTTATTAAGGGTAAAAAAAAAAAAGAGTTTCGTAGACAAAATGTCTTATTATATGAAAACAAAGTTTGCCAACGAAATTGGGAAGCTGCAAGCATAATTCTGGTTCCTAAAAGTTTAGGGTTTAGGGTTTTTTTATCTCATAATGTAACGTAAATGTACTAGTTTTCCTTACAGTATAGAGGGCTTGATGGGACTGGGATGGTTAGTAATTAAGGGAGAATAGAACCAAAAAATACAAAAGATTTTGACTGTTTTAATAAGATAAGAAAAAAAAAAAGTTGTATGAATCTAATTAAAGGAGAATAAAACCATGGCTTCTTTATCTTTCTATGTCCTTTATTTCTATGGGCTCCGCCACCCAAAGCAAAGCCGCCATGTAAATAGACAAATGGCCTTTATTTCGGCGGCCATCCTCAAGCTTCTAGATGATCAAACCTTTCTACCCAAAATCTGCTGTCTGTTACTACAAGTACGGGCCAGCAAGCCAAAATATTTAATAGTAACATTTCTTTCTTGTTTTATAAATAAAGAAAAAGGATCACAATCTGTTGGGAAAGAGGAAGCTGCAATAGCAAAATTGAATAGCATTTCATGTTATTGTTAAGTACGTTTTGGAGATTTTGAAATTTTAATAAGATCACATATCTATATATAAAAATCCCACGATTTTCTTGGAATGTAGTGATAGGGAAAAAAAACACTATAAAAAGAAGGGCAGCGCTAAAAGTTTTCTAGAAGATTAACTGGGGAATGAGTTCCCATTGGCAAAATTCAAATCAATAAAGAAGGTCGAGTAGTGGAGGACCACAATGATCTTTTTTCTTGGCATACTACTTTGATTAAATCTTTTTTGATCTCTATCACAATTAACTAATCATGTGAATAACGTAGCAATATTTAAAATACTTTTTTTTTGTGGGGTCTATTTACGTTGTGGCGTTGGGAATGGAACAAGCAGTGGGTCTAGGGTGTAGGTTCTAGGAAGACCCAATCTGTAGGCCTAGGTTTATGGGCCTATGTTAAATTGTGGACTTACTTGGGTTTGGTGTCCACATGCATGTCCAATTAGACAGCTTGATCCATTTCAGAAGACGTTAAAAAGGCTACTTCATGTAGACCTAACCTTCGCTTTAATTTAGATTTGGATTGGATTTTTCAATGGATTAATGCTGCTTTTATGTTATGTTTTTAATTAAATCTGGTTATTTTATTAAATATCATGAAAATTAATACAAAGCTTTAACTAGAATTAAAGGTGTAGCTAGAATCCCATCGGTCGATCGATTCAATCATAGAGGGGGG